CTCAGCTTCTCGCACCTTTGCTTGGCGCCGACGAACAGCCTCGGCTTCGGCTTCTTCCTCTGCGTGCTGGCGAGCAGCTTCCTGGCGGGCAGCTTCCTGCCCAGCTTCAGCTTCCTGGCGAGCAGCTTCCAGGCGAGCGGCTTCCTGGCGAGCCGCTTCCTGGCGAGCAGCTTCCTGCCAAGCAGCTTCTTCTGCTTCCCGGCGAGCAGCTTCCTGGCGAGCAGCTTCCTGGCGAGCAGCTTCCTGGCGAGCAGCTTCCTGGCGAGCTGCTTCCACACGAGCTGCTTCCACGCGAGCTGCTTCTTCCAGGCGAGCTGTTTCCCGAGCTTGTTCCTCAAGCTGACGGCGCAACTCCTGCTCCTCTTTGTCAAGAGGCTCGGCAGCTTCACTGTCAACCTCTGCTGCGTCACCTGGCGCTGCACTGCCCAGACGGGCTGCTTGTCCGTACTCCAAAGTTGTCTGGTCGTCCGACACACTCTGGCCACAGGCAACTTCCAAGGCTTTTGCTGCAAGTCTCTCGGCACGCTCCACACTTTCTTGATGGAGCCGCTCCTCCTCTTCTAGCTCTTCTTGCAGCAGCGTTTCGAGGTCGACCTGCTGAGCGCCCACGTGAAGCCACAAAAAACATGTCAAAAAACTGCCAGAAACCTAGAAGATCCTACTCTAAATAAAAGTGTGCCTCCTGCTCAAGCTGTGGTTCCACAGGCTCAGCTGGAGGCAGCTGGCTTTCGTTGCCCTGATCTCCTTTGAAAAATCCACAAGGCTCCCCAAAATCTGACTCACGCGCATTGCACAGTGCCTTGCGTCGTCGCACTGTACACAGAAGCTCCGTCAGAGACCTTGACACGCATTCTGCTTAAAAATAACAATGCTCTTGCAAAAACTTCAACGCAAGCGGCCGAGGCTGCCAGCAGCTCTGCTTTAGCTTCAAGAAAGCTTGGAGTCCTCCCCTGCGCCAAGCATGAATCTGAGCAATACCATATCCCAGGCATGCATGTAGGCCACCTTATGGGCCATCAAGTCAGCATCCAAGTGCTGCAGGCCACGGAAGAAGGTGTCACAGGACCTTACGTTGTCACCAAAAATCTGTGAAAATATGGGAGAACTCTGAAATTTTGAGGTTGCTGCTTCTGGGAGTCAAAGGCAGACATGACACCCAGACCCACACTCCAAGCTAGCCAAAAGCTCCGTATTCAAGCATATGGTTCTGGGGTGCCTAAAGGGTTTCGGTGCAGACCTGGTACGGCCAGGATTTTGGCCCAGGGGCCTTCCCGTACGGTTCCGTACGGTTTCCGTACGGTTTCCGTACGGGTGCCCTGTCCTACTTTAGTCAGCGCCCTAATTTCCCCGTACGGTTTCCGTACGGTTTTTCCCGAAATCTAAGGGCCGGGGACCAAAACTAGGGTTTGGGTGTCTGGGGGCCCAGTGGCCTAGTACGTCATATACAGATCTACGTACAGCTTATCTCTACGTCACGGACGGCTCTGTCTTAGTACATGTGCGAAGACTTCAAAAAGAGCACTGCGTGCGTACTAGCGCCCAAGGCATTCTTCAAAATCCACCCCTCGCCGTTCTTTCAGGAGCAAGAATCAGCAGCATTTTGCGCAATACGTTGAGCAGATCTTTCAGGCAGAGGCCCCAAAAGTCCAAGCCTATCTTCCACTATCTTCCACTGCCTGCTGGCGCGGAGTCTGGGGCTAGGCACCCTAGCTTGATTGCGGAAGAATTGTATGCCTGGCATTTCCACATGTATATTGGCTCGTATCTGAAGAGCTCCAAGCAAAGATCACAGATACCGCTGCAACCTCTGTGCGAGGTGTTTGTTTGGACTCACCGCAAGTTGGAAAATTTAAGGGCTACAACTTCTAGATGTCTAGGCCGTCCGTGACTGCATCCTCACCCGTACGAAAACCGGCCGGAAAGCGCGCGAGCGCTTATCAGATATTGTCTTTACACCCCCCATGAGACAGAACTGCATGCCAGCTCTCAGCTGCAACATGAATAGTGCCCTACACAATTTGAATAGTGAAGAACTGCCGCGTTCGATCCAAAGAGATCTTGATAACAAGCGGCCTCAAGAGGCTAGCGCCCAAACTACAGATTAACCCTGCGCTGGTTGCATATACATAATCGAACAGTTCCAGGCCGTACATGGAAGCCCCACTCACAAGAGCTGACACAGGTACGAAACCAATAGCTCAGTAAAGGCACACAACTATCATACGTAAAGTGCACCCACAGCTTCTAGGCGGCCACTATTTGTTTGACCCAGGATTGTAACGGCAACAACAATCACACACCCACATGCAACATATGTTGCACAAAAGCACAGCTCTCGCCCATCTAGCTTTCAATAGGACTAAAACCGCGCTAAAAGCCTCAAAGCGAAGCTTCAGCTAACATTCTTGCACGGCAATCCTTGTCAAGAAAAGTTAGCGCAGAACAGCTTCCAACATATAATTCATACAGGCATAACAACACACAAACATGTTTTCTGTAAAGCAGGAAGGATATGTACAGTACGTTGCGTATGACTCTATGTGCAACGTAACGTACTGTATATATCATTCAGGGGACACACGCGGGCGCAGACCTATCCATAGGTTACTGAAAGTAATCTATGGATAGATCTGCTATGGGCATGACATGACCACGTGGCATGGAATCACAGCAGCACATCACACACACGGGCTGTCAAAGCAGTTGCAGCAGTTTCGGGGAAACTTTTTCCCATCTCATCGACGCATTTCAGTGCCTCAGGCACGATCCACTCTGAACTGCCGCAAGCCGGCGTCTTGCAAGAGCTGCCTGCTCCAAGTCAAACAGCTAGCAAATCCACATGGCTGCCTTGGACTCATGTTGCCTGTACCCATCGCTTGGGATACGAAGGTGTCTGCTTCTGGCCAGGTAGGCGGCCACTTCGAAAAGGTTTGCCTCAGGTCACTAAAACTGAAGCACACGCAGAGATTAATATATCGTGCGCAATCGCCAGCATATGCTGGGGCGAGAACATCTTCATAGGCTGGATGTTCCTCCAAATCAACGTGTCCATCCTCTCCGTAGAAAAGCTCAAACCTTGGGCGAGTGTCCCAAGACACAACAACAGAAAAAACCCTTGCGCAGTCGAGGGGCCCGCTTGCCTCTTCAAGTTCACTGGGCTGCCCCAATGATGGCACAGGGCTTGGAGATATGACACCGATGCTGTACTCGTTAAAGACGATCTGAGCAATCCTTCTTGCCAATGGCTTGGGATACTCCCTGAGATGCAGCACAACGCGAAAAGAACCACACACACACACTCCACATGTAATAACTTAATTTGAGAGAGGAGGCTGCGTGGCCCTCAACGAGCTCGTGCCACAGACTCCTTTGTCTGTCTTCCTTGTTGGCTTGGGCAGGCCAAGCTTCAGCCGTCTCTTCTCAACCATCTTGCAGTGGTGTTTCTTGAAAGTCTTGCACAAGCCACTCACCCACATCCTTAGATGAAAAGGCTGAGGAAAAACTGGGCGATCTCAAAACATCTAATTTCAAAATGACACAGCTGCAATGCAGTCCAGGGGCTTGTTCGAGAAGAACGAGCATAATTTCGGAGACCAGTGCCCAAAGGCACCAAGGAAAGTGTTGATCCGGTACTTCTGTCCATCCCGCGTTGCCCTCTTGGCTGATGGGTGCAAGCTCATCAAACTGGAAACCGGCTGTTCGAGCACCCAGCCGCCACGTAGCCAATTTAGTAAATCGGCTATGATGAATGTCCTACAACAGATTCAAACCATGAATACGCAGCGACAATGATCCCCAACCAGGCCTTGCCACCATGCAATTTGCATCCTTGATCTTTTCTCGATGATGATGCCCTCTTGGCCTCGCCTTGCCTGAGGAATCTGATTTGAAGGCCGGAAAATCGACAAGCTAGGCAACACATTTGCAGGGCCGAGCTGCTGCGGCCGGATGTCTTTCTATTCATCCAAATCCAGGATGAACAAACCGGTTGTAGTATCCCGAACCTGTCAGCAGCAAGGACATACACTGAGCCCCAGAGCTGGGTTTACAGAAGCTGCGCAAAATCACGCGATTTGGATTGCAAAAGCTAGTACTTCACAAGGCCGCCTTGGCCCCGCTGTTTTCAAACACATGAAGGAATACAGCACCAATCTCAGCGAGTCCAAGTGTCTGTTCCCAAAGCAATGTCTATGCAACTGGCCCAGCAGCAAAACAAACCTGCATGCTGCGCAGCGTCTGAGAACCCTACGCCATGCCAGCTGCCGATGTAACGTCCATTGTCGGACTCAGTTCTATGTCGTGGGATGCCACGACAAAGCCAGCAGCAACCAGAGCTTCCTGCAGATGGGCAGCGAGACCATGTAAACAAATCATCTCTCCGCAGCAGTCCTTGACACTGCCTTTGCCCGAAAACAAATCTAAGCAATCATAACGCGGTGTCAGCGGGCACTCGCTGTTCCAGATCCTTAATGCAGGTCCACTGTAGGCAAGCTGGGCCAGCAACTTGCGCAGCACCCTGAATCTGAGGCAGCGTCAGAAGGAGAAGGCACAGGATGAGGATTTTCGGTATCCCACCAGCAATCATGCTTCTGACCAGCGCGTCATAGGCCATCACTGGCCTGAAACATCCACTATATAAGGACGCAAGCCAAACAAACGAGGATCACAGGATCACGCAGCCAAGAACCCCAAACACCCCGCCTCAGCAACAGCAGCAGAAGTATGAAGTGCCACACACGCATGGCTCGAGCGCTTCTAGCAAAGAGCAAAAGCCTAGCCAAGGCCTTGGAGGCCGCTGGGACTTGACGTATGCCCACAGGTCAACAATTAGCTGTGACTCACAGAGTTTGGATGCAAGCAACGCCTGCCACAATTTTTCTGAGATTTGCAAATTCAGGCACACTATCCCAAAGCAAGCAGAGCGGGGAAGCACCCTCATATTCGGTGAACGACACAGGCCCAGCGCTCGCAGATGAGGAGACGGGAAGCGTACCTGTCCAACAAGTGCGTCATACAGGAGCCCACACATGAACCACCAGCGTGCAAACAATCACAGCTCTTTACCGTATGCTCATTATTTTGCCCGCCCATCTGCGCACGCGAAATCACACCCCTCCTTCAGAGATCGCCTGGCTGCCAATCTGCAGCCAGGGCCTGGCAGCGCTCCAAGATAGCCTCCTCTGTCACGGCCTCCGTGAGGTCTACCTTGTGAACGGAATAGGTCCACCAGCTCACCTGACAGGTGGTGTGGAATAGCTTTCTCACGCATTGTCCATGTCTGGTTCCCATACGCAATATACCTAGCTCACACAATTTGTGAATGAAAAATGACCGTCAACCCTGTCCTACCATAATTGCCGCTGGGCCCCTGAGGCCACCTTCCAAACCCTCCCAAATGCAGCGAATAGAGTTTCAGCGGTCCGACGAAACAAGCAAGTCCTACAATCCTGTGGGTTCACTGCAAATCTTTCACACAAGGGCTTCGATCTGAAAGTGGTAAGGTCGGCAGCAGCGCCAACCCTTTACAGCGTCGTATAGTACATAGGGAGGATTGCAGGTCAACATCAAAACACAAGGGCTTCGGGTCCCCCTATTGGTTGCACACAGCCCTCTCGGAAAGTGTTCGTGGGCGCCTGGGCTTTCGCAAGCTTTCTTGCCGGCACCCTTGCAGCGAGCTTCCTTGGGAGGGCTGCCAACTCATATATGTTATAGCGCTCTGCTGCCAGATCACCTTGAACACACCACCCTTGTAACAGAGTAATTTCAGCCCAGAGGCTCTTGGAACACCCTCTTCAGGGCATCAAACCTCCACACGAACGGCGCAGTAGACGGCCTGGATCGCTTTGCGAAGTTCGACGCCTTTGCAGAGCCATCCTGCTTTGTCGCTTCTTCAGGCGCTGCTTCAGGTAGTGCCTCAATCGGTGCCTCAGGCAGCGCCTCAGGCGGTGCCTCAGGCGGTGCCTCAGGCGGTGGCCCTGGGGCAGCCTTTGCCTTGGCTTTCGCCTTGCTCTTAGCTGCAGGCTTTCTCCCTTCAGCAGGCTCCTGAATCGAAGCTGCCAACGATCATATGACATATGACATATACCTGAGATCCCTTGCGCAAGCCTGACTGTTGCAGCCGAAAATCTTGAAGCACCGGGCTAACAAAATTGCGCTCTTTCAAAACGTCGGCCTGCACACCCTTCTCATGTTCGTCCTCACTGCTGCCAACCTCCACTGGATCCTTGCATGCTTCACTGCATGACTACGTGTTTGGCCTGACGCCCCCCAAAAAACTTTCCAACATATACTGCTCCACACGCAAACCTCAGAAAGAAATTGGCCCAACGATTTCTCACTGCATGAACATGGGACTGACGCACGCATTAACTTGCCAAGTACTTATGCCGACAAGACACAAAACCAAAAGCTAATCGATGCGCTTGCATGTACGTCTCATGGGCCGCCTGACCAGCAGTCCATGCCCTGTGTCGAAATCAATTTATGCTTAAATGGGCTCACGCAGCCTCCAAACGAGTACGTTTCTCAGACGGCTCAGAGGACCTGCGTCAATCAATGGTTGGTGCGGGCTAAGTTGGCCAAACATATGTTAATTGGGGGGCATTAGTACACATCCATTACCTCAATATAACCACCCAACCTCACTGACAGTACCCCAGTCAACGTCAACCTATACTTTTCAACCTTCAGATTTTTAAGCTCTCACCGAATCGAAACATATGTGGCCACATCAAGCATGAACGATCTGGGCAAGGCGCGAGGGCTCTGGCTTTGCAGCACGATGCTTCGCAGGCGAGGGAAGCAGCCTGATCAACTAATCAATTGTCCGGGAACTAAGCACGCGTCAGAATTTACTTCTGCTCGGAAGTACACATGAGCCAAGAAGCTTCCTCTTCAACGTGTCCAACTTGGAAAGGTGGCTCGAACTCGGTGATGAAATGATACACAAGACATATGTTAAATGGCCCGCTGCTTTCAAAGTTCCAAATTATTTAAAGCAGCCATCATTGACGCAAGATTTGGGCGAGCTGCTCTGCCCGTGCTTTCAGTGCCCTCACGCGGCTACACGACCGCCGTAGCACAGAAGACACGAGCGCCTGGTCTGCTTCTGACATCTTTGCGCAAGCCACCATGACCTAGCAGCTCAACTGAATTCAGCTCAGTCTTAATTTACAATGCCCAGCACTCACGTAAGACTTGAGGGCGGCGCACAAAGGTCGTAGATTCGCGGGGCCCGTGTTTTGTTGAAGTTCAGTGCATCTAGGCGGCGCTAGCAACTATAGATGGAACTCGCTACTCAAATGCAAGTTGACACGTCCAGTCACTCTTTGAGTCCCAGACTGAAGAGATCAAACAATCCATCCACAGCCGGGAACATTACCGTCTCGATAAACTCCAAAGGGATGGGGAGCACGGGGTTCGTGAATTTGTCGGCCCCTTCCCACAACTCCACGGCGCCTCAGCTCGAGATTAATTAATGGAAGCTTATGAAATCCAGCGCGCAGGTGGCTCTGAGCGCCTGGCTCGTTGCATCACCCACTAGTGGTTTCAGTACTTCGGCCATACGGCTGGCTACCTGAAAGGCAGAAGCTTGACATTAACTTATGCTGCAGTCTGCTTTTAAGAGGGCCGACAGTAGGATCATCCAGCTTCTCTGCGCCACACGCCTGCGTCCAGTACTGAAAAATTGGCCCCCTCCAAGTCTGCAAATGTGTTTTGCCAGCCTCTGCTTTGCCATCGTCCGCCGACATGGCTCAGCAGCAGCAGGGAAGGCTTCACTTCAAAACTGAGTAAAGCATACATGTGGCGGCGTGTGTTGAGCTGGCAATTTTAATACCTCAACTGCTGCACAAAATGCAACACTCACAGAGCTATCCCGATCTGGGTGAAGCCTACCTCTGCGGCAAGGGCCTGGCAGCTGCGCCAGAGTTTGGGGCTGGGAGCCTTCCAGCAACCACGTGCTGTGTCAAAACCTGGGGCTGCAAGCTAGCTGGCGGTGCAACAGGCCTTGTTCTGCACAGCCTGCCCACAGGCCGTACTCCAAGGATCCTTGCTTGCAAGTAGCTGCGGATTTCCGGGTCGGGCGGCTCTGGGCTGTCGGCACGCACAGAACTCACTTTGGCTAGCTTCACCTTTTCCCTTGCTGCGCGAACGGGAACGCAGGGGGGATTCCTTGCGCCGGGCTTTCTGTTGGGGCTTTGGGCTCAGGCTGGCTGTGGAACTGGCGCGTGGGCTACTAGAGGAAGATCTAGTCATGCTAGCTGCATGAGCCTCTCACACAACAAGAACGGCAAAGAAATAGTCTTTGTCAACAGGCACACCTGACTGAACGCATGCAACGGGCGCACTTGCTTTGCAAAGTAACTTCAGCCGCCGAGTGCTGCTCACCATGCACCAAGCGCACGACAGCAAACTACTTCATTGTCTTAAGTAACAGTACAGCTATATAGTCAAGTTCTCACACCATATATTCCCTATCCCCTGCTGATTTCCCGTCCTGAATTCCCCTGTTCGATTACACAGCTGGTGGCTTTGCCAAAACATCCACAGCGCTCTTGCTTGTTTGCTGCATGAACCTAGGGACCTGCGTGGCTGGACAATTCAGCGTGCTGTGTTTTGAAAACAACTTCCTTGTCAGAATTTGTGCACATGTGATATAAGTTATAGGGCGCAATAGGTTGAATGAAAACCGCTTCACTACACCAGCAGTTTTCATTCAAACTGTTGCTTTTTATCGGGCTCGGAGTAAATCGTTGGTTATCAAAGTAACCAAAGATTCACTCCGATATGTGTGACATGTAACATGCTGGCAACCAAAGCTGACAGAGCATGCATGTGTATGTGGCCTAATTGGAGGTTTCAGTAAAAATGTACCGTTTTTTGCCTACGACGGAAAATTTGGGAAAAAAAACAACATTGTCGGGTTTTTTCCTCAAAAACAGTCATCGTCAGATTTTTGGCCAACGTTGTTTTTTTTTCATTCATTTGGTTCTCCAGGTACTCTCCCCCTGACGAGGAGGAGGCGGCAGGAGCCGATGCGCCTAGAGGCCATCGCTGAGGCAAAAGCTAAGGCGAAGGAGGCAGCTGCTAAGGCTGCAACCGTCAAGGAGGAGATGATAGATGA